TTAATTTTAACCTTTTTTATGTTTATAAAATACAGAAATGAAATGACGTTTATAAAATAATTTATGAATTAGTTACTTACATTTAAAATTCATACAGATATTAAAAAACATATACAGGATGAGTCTTAAATAAGTTCAAATATTTTCAGGGCTGGTAGATCTCGATAGAAGAAACATATTTTATCTTTACTATTTTTCAAATAAGTCCAAAATAACCGAGTTATTTAAGTTTGAAAATTAAAAAAATTATATTTTTTTTGGAAAAATTTTGAGAGCCACCGGATTTTTTCTGTATTTGCATGCCTTTTAGTGCCGTAACCATAGAGAAAAGCTGGAACTATGGTAATATCAGGGTGCAGCCACACTATCCTAAAAACGGCGTATCGGCGTAACGGCGTAACGACCTTGAATCGATTTCCAGTAATTCTATTGGCTGAAATTTTTGACAGATGAATTTGACAGATAAAATTTCTGACAGATGAATGTTTCAGCCGATAGAATTACTGGAAATCTATTCAAGGTCATTACGCCGTTACGCCGATACGCCGTTTTTAGGATAGTGTGGCTGCACCCTCAGAGATTAAGAAATTATACCTGCGGTGAACAGGCAGTTCTAAAAAGTTGTCGAAAAATATACAGGGAAATTTAAAAGAAAATGCACGATTTTCAACATCTTTTTTTTGCGAAGAAAATTCTCATAGACGTGTTCCTGGGGTCGAAATATACCAAGGACTGTATATATTCTAAAGGACTGTTCGATCGCGTCAAATAGTGATAAATAATAGTAGCCGCTGTCGTAGTCGCCGTGGATGCTTACGTCATGCAGGGACCAGCGCTCCACAGTGCAGCGGATGGTTATTCTAGCGGGACAAAATCTCAGGAAAGATGTTTGGGACTTAAAATTTAAGAACGTAGCAAACGGTCTAATATATAGCAACCATATGGTTAAATTTATTTATTTATTAATAAATTAATTTATTAATAAATAAACAAATACAAGATAATAAAAATTATGATATTATTAGTACATGACACACAAAAACCGTACTGTAAAATATTGCCAAATACATAAAATTACGATATCAGGTAAAATACTTTTTAGATATTTTAATTTAACACTCGGTAATTGTAAATTCATATACAGGGTGTCCCAGAAATAAGTGCAAATATTTTAACTGGTAGTATAGTTCAACCCTTAGACTAAAACTTCTAGACGGAGCAAGTCATTCATAAATCTACTACAACCGTGTTCCACTTAGCCTGCTTAGAATGGAATCACGGAGGTTAAAATATCAATGAAAAGCCTTGAGTGGGGATAAGAACTTGGGACAGCAAATTTGGCGCGGCGATACTGGCCGGACTAATCCAATGGCGTACTAGTTTTCGCAATTTCCGAAATATGAATTTAATTAAATTAATATAAAATTAAAATCGATCTTTAAAAAATTGTGTTAGCTAGTATAAATCTCAAAATGTTATTTTTATTTTGATTTACATTTATACAAGACGCCTTAAATTTAAAAGCATAGCATTTTAAAATGTCTTTATTTTATTAATTACCGATTTAACATAACATTTTTTTTCAAATTACTACCATATTAGTTATAATTTTCAAGCTATGTATAAAACTCCGATTTATATATCAATTTAATTTTTATGTATATTTACTAACAGGTGCATTTTTTATTTAATGCTTTATAAAATATTTTTTCATTATTTTATAATCCTAAAACTTTGAAACCAAATTAAAAATAAATTTAAATATCTTTTATGCATGATTTAAATCATGTTCAGTGAATCTTGATTAGCACATACCTTGTGTTTTTCACAAGTGGTTCGCTCCTATAACTTTTTGATTTTTTCCAAATAAAAAAATGAAATTTTGTATGTTACTAAATGACATAAATCGGGATTGATTGTTTTCAATTACTTGTTTCACCGGAAATGATTTAAACTTTTGAATTTTAAATGGTGCTCTAGGAAATTTTTTTCACTTTATTTGATAAAAAATTACATCATGACCATAGCATTCTAGAGTGAAATTTAAAAAATACCAATAAAAAACAACTACAATATAAACAAGCAGGTTTAACTTTGACAATTAATGACAATCGACAGTAATTTTACAATAAGTTTTTACAAATTAGTTGAAGGGTTGTTTTTTACCCTAACTTTAAAACACCCTGTGCAATAATTTCAAGAGCAAATTTTCCTAAAACATTATTTTTTAGTGAGAACCCCCATCCTGAATATCATCAGTCATGTTAACACACGCCTTGGTTAATTTTTAAGAGCAAAATGAACTGGCCACAAACATTTTGCAATGTTTTCGATTATTATAGTTACTTTTTAATGTTATTCTTCATTCATCTACCCGAAGCCCCATCTCGGGATATTAAAATATAACATCATATGCAAATTGTTGCTGGCAATTTCATTTCGCTCTTAAAAATGAACCAAGGCATGTGTTGACATGAGTTAAAAACAAAATGCTCAGGAGACATGGTTTTGATCGAAAAATACTGTTTTACGAAAAGTCACTTACTAAATTATTGCTCAGGATGTTTTAAAGTTAGCGTAAAAAACAGCCGTACAATTAACCCTGTATAATAAACCAAATACTGAAGTTTATAAAAAAGTGAATTTATTAATTAAAGTTGATATATAAAGTTTGCCAAGAATATCATTAAAATAGGGCTAAAAGTAAAAGAAATGTCACATTAAACTTGACGAAAAAATTATCCGTTGGGTTTTTATTACATCTGAGTGTATATTAAAAATATATTTAAAAAATACATAAACAGACACATACATAAAATATAAAATATAGGAATTATTAATATATTCGACTATAAGATGGGTATTTACTTTGTAGGAGCGAAAAAAAACGGGAATCCATGACACTTATCATTAATTGTTTTTGATCAGAAATTTTGAAGGCAACACTGGCGCCTTTTTTTGCGATCATACGATTTTTACGGGAGCATTGCATTAGACAACATAACAAAGAACAAAATGTAGGTATTTCCAATTTACAGATGGTTTACACTGGGCCTACCTAAAGTACCTTTTTTTTGTCTAGGTAAATATTTTTCTTTGTTGTGGTTTATGATTATGATGCAATCTTCCTATGAAACTTCTCATGTAAATAACCATCAACTATAAAATTATTTATATTTTATATAGTATGTAATTACTAAGTTCCAATGTGGTTAAATAATAATTTCTTTAGTTCATCAATCTTGATTTAAAATGAAATGTAACGCTACTGTTTGGAAAGAATCACGTATTTTATGGTAGGTCAGTACTTGCCTGTGAAATGACACATCAGGATTTTTCGAACTATTTTTCTTGCAAACTTGGCACATATCAACCATGATTATACAATATTTATAATTTTTATATCGAATGTCACTATTTAAAATAATAAATTCACTCTTTTCAGTCAGAAAACACAAAAACACCCACAACGAAATAATCGCAAACACACGTGCCGCCAGTTTACTACGTCCAGATAAGAATTCCAATGTTGCCACGTTGACTGAACTATTTTCTGCTGATTAGATTAAATTATTTATTTTTCTATTTTTATTTAAGAGAACTGTTGTTTTACTTGCTTTAATCACTTAGTAAATGCTTATTATATACCATATAATAATTTTTAAACGTAGCATCAATTATAATTTATTGAATAACTTAAAGATAAGTATGTATAATGAATATTCCCTGTTATAACGATAAACTGCATGATATGGCACATTTGTCCCGCAAGACCATTAGACCGTATCTCATCGAAGGAGCCAAACAATGGATCGGCTCGCGCTCTCTATTGTCTTACTCTAAGGTTCAACCCCAGAAACATGCCTATGAGGTTTTTTTCACGAAAAAAAAATTTTGAAAATATTTTTAATTTCCAAGCTTTTTATTCTAGAAGCTATACCGGGTGCGTCTCAAAAGTGGCTCACCCCTATAACTTTTTTATTTTTCCAGATAAAAAAACGAAATTTGCTATGTTAGTACATGATATAAATTAGGATTGATTGACGTATTCAATTGTTTTTGGTGACTTCCTGCCTCACCGGAAATGACTACAACTTTCGATTTTTAAATCGCACCAAAATGACATTCTAAATAGAATGATACATCATATGTGAACTTTTGACATTTTCGCTTAATAAAAAATCGTATTTTAAATTTCAATCCGGCCGAGTACCTTGGCTATGTAAAAAACACTAATCCTTAATCAAGAAGCCTTGGAAAAATAGATTTGATCGTCTAATGTTTTAGTGTCATGTCCTGACCGGTTAAAAGATGCCCGAATCGTATTTTTAATCATATCTCAAACTTTTCAAATGGAAGGGGGGTGGCCATTAGCATATTTGGAAAAAACATTTTTTTACGATTAATTTGATACCACACCCTTGGAATTTCCAGTCAAATTTTCGTTATGGACCGCAAGTTATGGTTTTAAATAAACCATATGTGAAAATGTCAAACGTTGACATATGATATGTCATTCATGAGGGTGCCATTTAAAAATCAAAAGTTCTAGTCATTTCCGATGAAACCGTAAGTGACCGAACACATTATATATAATATGTCATATAAAAACTATATGACATAAAAAAACTAACATACCAAATCTCGTTTTTTTTAACTAAAAAAATAAAAAAGGGTGATTATAAGGGTGAGCCACTTTTCAGACGCACCCGGTAGATGCATTGCCGGATGAGTCTGTATGAATATCAAATTTGAGAGATACCTGAGAACAATAATCCAAAGTAAAAAATTACGCAGACATCAAATTTCATCTTATTCAATTAAAAAAAACCCATGAGATGCGTTTTTTATTTCTGCGACACTGTATAAGATCCAATCGATCTTGAAAATCCTCTTGCCGATTCGCTTCCGCATATTTCACGCCTAAATATCGATTATTTTTCTTATTCTACCGGACTAACGACTAAAACCGCGCACTACGCGCTCTTTAAACTCCAGTCACGTTTTGGAACATCAATGTCAGTGCGATAGTCTAGAACCAAGCTTACACGCGCACGATTTGCTTGCTCGTCTTTTCAATAAGTTTTCCACCAAAACAAAAGAAAAACTCCTTGAACGAGCGTTTGATTCCGATTTTATCGCAATTTTTCTCCGGAAATTTCATATTGCCAATCAGTGACATCTAGTATCGAGTTAACAATGAGCCCTGACAAATAACCGAAGCAGATTCCTTGTTGTTTTAGTACTACTGAGCCTGCGCGGTTTGTGATGGTATTGTTTCTACTGCGAGGAGCCGGTAACGCACATGGGTACTCGTGGTGAAGCCCTGTATTGGTGAGTAGGGTATAATGGGGTGTTTTTTTATATTAAAATGCAATTTCAAACAAAAAATTGTTTTTTATAATTTATAACATTTTTTAATAATTTTTATACACTCAGATGCAAAAAAACGGAACTGAGATTTTTTTCATCAAGTTTACATTTATATTTGTTTTACTTTTAGCCTTATTTTCGTGATTTTTTTAGCAAACTGTATATAAATCTGTCAACATTAATTCATAAACTCAGTTTTTTATAAACTTTAATTACAGGGTAACTTTAAAAGATCATGTGCAATAATTTCGTGAGTTTCAGTTTTTTTAAAACATTATTTTTCGATCAGAACCATTATCTCCTGAGCATTTTCTTTTTTGAGTCACGTCAACATATATGCATTGCTTAATTTTTAAGAGCGAAATGAACTTGCTAACAACATTTTGCAATTTTTAGCCGACCATACTTAGGTATTAGCCGACCATTTTAGCCGACCAATAGGTATGGTAGGTAGGCTATTAAGATCGACAAAAAAAAAGTTTTTTAAATTTCACTCAAAATGAGTTATTCGGGTCATAAATGACCTAAATACAAAATATTTTCATGGTGTCTGTCTGTCTGTCCGTCTGTAACACGATAACTCAAAAACCGCTAAACCGATTTTAACCAAATTTGGTACAAAAATACTGTGGCACCCGAGAATCTGGCCATTAGTTTTGGTGGGGGTGGGGGGTTGGTAAGGGGGTATGGGAGGGGGTTAAAAATTTAAAAAAATCGTAACTCCAAAATCACAGTAGCTAGCGAAACGCGGTTTTCAATTTAAGATTAGGAATATTTTTTTTTTTAGAATTTTAGAATGAGTGGGAGGGGGGTTAATCACTTCGACCTTACAGATCCATTGTGTCCCCCTTTCTTGAATCATAACTCATCATACAGTCCCAGGGCTTTGACAAAAGCCAGTATCTGGGACGGTTTTATAGAGGGTAGTTCTCCATCTCCAATATCAGTCGTACCAAAATTCATGGCACGAATGGTTGTCGTCTCGGCGCACTCAGTGATGAGGTGTACTGGTGTTTCACCATCTTCCCCACAGAATCTGCATTCGCCGTTTCTTTCGTTCTTAGTTTCAATCTACTGAGGTGTTCATTGAGGAGACAGTGTCCTGTTAAACCCCGTGACAATCCGAAGATTGTTCTTACCCAGAGCCAGGAAGATCTGTGATTTTTCTTGATCATAAGCCCTCAGAAACTTCTTCGAGTGTCTTAGACCATTGCAAGATTTCCATTCCAGGTTGCGGATGGAATCTTTCAAGTTCTTGAGTTCCGCCTTGAGTTGGTTACCACTTGGAAAGCAGAACGGTTCTGGTCCAGTTAGTGGAGTGTTCGCTCCTTTCCTAGCTAGATTATTTGCTTTTTCATTGCCTTCTATCCCTTGGTGAGCAGGCACCCAGTGTAGGAGGACTTTGTTTTCTTTGCCTAATTTATTCAGCTTCTCTATGCATTCTTTGACCAATTTCGAATTGATTGATACTGAGTTGATCGCCTTAGGAATAATATTTGCAACAAAATTTGTAATAACATCAAAATCAGTCAAAGTCGCAGTTTTTGGGATAAAAAAAATTGGAAAAATACCTTTACTTTGAAACTAAAAGGACTGCCTACCAACTTTTTATTAACATATTTTAATATACGTGCCTCCCGGCGCCAATTTTTTCAACTACCATTACTTTATGATGTTATTTTTTTATATCACGAGGTGGCTTTGGTCACTATTGTCATAATGTTATATCGACACTGATTAGAACTATATATTAAAATTTAAAAAACTTTAAAAAGTAACAATATAGGCTTGGTTTTAATAAATACTAGTAACACTAACAGAACTAAGGATATTAAAAAAAATAACTGTAATAACTAAGTGTACAAAAAACAAAAAAACTGTAAATAATAATCTAATACTTTGAATTGCCTTCCCCGACTGCTATAACTGTTTGTAGATGTCTGTTCATCCTGGCAAATATATTGTGTTAAGTTTTCCCATTCTTCTTCAAGGACCAAGCGAATATTCATAAGTTCGACCATCTTCAACAAGATCAATGACTTTTGCACAATTTTCGACACTAAGAACCATATTCAATCGTACACAACAATAATCACCAAAGCCACCTCGTCATTATGAAGAATAACATCAAAAAGTAACGATAATTGGAAAAATTGCAAAATGTTTGTGGCAAGTTCATTTTGCTCTTAAAAATTAACCAAGGCATGTGTTGACATGAGTCAAAAAAGAAAATATTCAGAAAACATGGTTCTGACCGAAAAATAACGTTTTAGGAAAATTTGCACAAGAAATTATTGCACAGTGTTTTAAAAATAGGATAAAAAACAACTGTTTAATTATTAACCCTGTATAATAAGTCAAATATTAAAAATGTTTACAATAAATTGAGTTTACGAATTAAAGTTAATATACAGGGTGTCCCAGGCTGAGCGTGCATCAGAAGTTTTCAGAGAACTACAACATCTAGCTTAGAGATTTTTTGCACATCATAGTTTCATAACGAGATCTATCGATTAAAAATATTTTCAATATGGCGGCACTTCCGGAAATACCGGAAGTAGACAGCAATTTTCTTATTTCAAATGGATGCCCCCATTTTTTATTATGTACTTAAATTCACTGTAAAATTTTATGAATTTTGATATTCAACACTCTATATCTAACATTAACCATTTTTGAGAAAAAAAATATTTAAAATTTTTGAACGAAAAAAAACTACCTGTCAAAAATATATGTGTACAGCCTAAACGTCAAATTTAGTGATTACCAGAGCCACTGCGCCATGAGAAGACATGTGGTTATCTATTTCAAAAATTAAATTGTTCCAATGTCATATAATAATGACCGCAGCTGTCATAGAATTGAGCGATTAAAAAATTATCATAAATCATTTTTTCAAATGGAAACCGACTTTTTTTATTTCACTAGTGAAAAGGTTTTTCAATTCTTTACTTTTTAACTATAAATGTTCCTATACCTAAAAGAAATTGTTTTTGAGTTATTTAAGATTTAGTTTTAAAGCATATATTTTTCTTGATTTTAACCAGTAACCTATGACTTTAACCGTCAAGTGATGTAAAACAATAGATCTGGCCATGTCATATTGTGACGCTTTCTTCAAAAAGCAGCATCATTTTCGAGCCCACTTTGCGCCGTTTTTTTTTCGATCATACGGAATATACGAGATATATTTTTATAAATACACTTTTTAAACTCTTAAGGCAGGCAGTATTTATACTATAGGAAATTCAAATAATTCGTTTTCTGACAGATGGAAATAAAATTTCTGACCGTTTGACACTTAATGTTAAAGGAAGCTAGATAAAATCAAGAAAAATATACGTTTTCAAACTCAATCTTAAATAACTTAAAAACAATTTATTTTAGGTATAGGAACATAGTTAAAAAGTAACGAATTGAAAACCGTTTCATTAGTGAAATGAAAAAAGTGGGTTTCTATTTGAAAAAAATGATTTATGATAATTTTTTAATCACTCAATTCCATGACAGTTACCGCCATTATTATATGACATTTGAACAATTTAATTTTTGAAATAGATAGCCACATGTCTTCCCTTTATGTCACAGTGGCTGTGGTAGTCACTAAATTTGACTTTTAGGCTGTACAAATTTTTTTGACAGATGGTTTTTTTCGTCCAAAAATTTTAAATAATTTTTTTCTCAAAAACGGTTAATGTTAGATATACAGTGTTTAACATCAATATTCATAGAATTTTACAGAGAATTTAAGTATGTAATAAAAAATGAAGGTACCCATTTAAAATAAGAAAGTTGCGGTCAACTTCCGGTATTTCCGGAAGTGCCGCCATATTGAAAATATTTTGATGTGCAAAAAATCTCCGATCTATATATTTTGGTTCTCTAGAAACTTCTAATGCACGCTCAGCCTGGAACACCCTGTATATACAGTTTGCTAAAAAAAATCCACAAAAACATTTTTAAACCAGCCCAAAAATGTTCCCGTTGCGGTTTTTTTGTATCTGAGTGATATTCTGTGTTTATACCAAAACTAATACAATACCACAAACTAAATTAGGTTAGTCTGTGACAATACTCAACAAAATAGGAACGTTTGAAAAGTAGTCTGCGAAGGGTCTGGCCAAATATTGACAAAATTTCGATTTCAAATTTATTTTTTACTTCTCGAACCTATCTGAATTTCCTCTATAAAACTTTGGTCATGAGTATTTTGATGTTGGTTTATATAAAACCGGAAATTTTTGGTGATATCTTATACAAGATATAATTGAAAACACTTTTACAGAATGGTTGACAAATGCTAAGAAATATAAACATTTGTTTTTTGCTGCTCTTGACCAAAATGGTCTACAAAATTTACTGAATAAATCAGTTAAATTCGGTAGGTAATGCACATTTTTAATTCTGTGCAAAATTTTAAAGATTATCTTGCAGATGTGTTTTTTTTATTTTTTCTGTCCTTGGCGTTCGACATTCATAGACAATTACAATTACCTTGACCCCTTTCATGTCAAATAAAAATATTATATTTCGTAAGAGGAAAGGTTAATACGTACAGGTGCAGTAATACAATATTATGTAGGAGTGTACACGCGTAGGATTTCTTATAAACTGAGTAATATATCGATTTCAGTAAGTTTCACAATTTATAATATTTTCTTGTTATAATTTAAAATCAGACAGACTTGAATTCAAATACCATCTTCTATACAGACGAGAGAAGTAAAGATAAAATACAAATTTATAGGTAATTAAGAGTCTATTACGCTGTACTGTTCAGGTGGCTCTCAGGGCTCGGGTAAAGCGTGTGTATGGCCGAAAGAAATATATATATATATATATGACATTTCAGAAATCTGCCTAAGGCTTAGCCCGAACCTGTCGTGTTAAGCCATACCAAAGCCATACCTAAAATATCAAACACAGGCGCTTTGATTAAGGCTTGATTATGGCTTGCAGAG